AGCCAGAATTCTGGGAGTTGAAGTCCACACAGCTTAAAGCGGCCAAGGTTGAGAAACACTGACATAGAGTGAAATTCAAAACACAAAATGCTTGAATTTGAGGACTGAGATTGGAGCTTTTCAAACAGTTGTTGGGCATCCCTACTTGGCTTCCATTTAAGATGAATATTGCCATCTTGGTTTTTTTTGACAGCTCCCTCCCTCCCTCCCCCCATGGCTGCACCTATTTGGGGATATTTTCACTCACCCAGAGGGAAAGATATATCCCAAGAAATAGTTTTGGAAACATTTTATTGTCCCCCAAAGATTTGAATAGATAAATTGAAATTATAAGATTTCTTTGTCTCTGTCAATGAAGTTTAAAAATGGCTGTATACAATAAGTAGTGCCATGTGATACTAAAGAAAAATCATCTCCTCCCATTTTCTTTCCAAGGCTCAAAGCAACAACAAAGAACTAGTTTTAAATGGTCTCTAGTGGTAACCTTAAGCATATTTTTATAATGTTTTTATTGATGTTGGCAACACCTGGTTCTGAGTAACCAGGTATTAGGGCTTTGAATGCACAGTATGGTTTTCCTTTGGCTGATAAAGGTGACCATGCCAAATTTACAAGTAGGTTTTCATCACCTAATCAATATCCTTTTATACAGTATATTTTGTTCTGTATTTTTCAGTATTTATTGCTAAGACTAGTTTGAATATTCAGTTTTTTAAAAAGGTTTTATTAAAACATCTGAAAAGCATTTTCATTTTTCAAGTGATCATTTACATAAAATTAAAAAAAATGAAATATGAGTTTATAGGCAAGAGTCAATTTCATTTGGGTACATATGTTTGACTTTAAGGTGCTGGGGAAGAGACAGTGGGGAAGGTTGCAATGAGTGGGAAGTATTATACAAAAGTGGGCAGGCCATAATATGCTCATATGCAGCCCAGTTTTACAAGATTGGATTTTGGCAGAATGAGGCTCCTTTGTTTTTATTTCCATTGAGTTAAACCCATTTCTATGTATTATGCAGCAGTTTTAATAAGTTTTTCTGCTTCAGAACAGTAAGAGTGTTGTTGGTTTCTCTGCTGAACAACGGCAGTGGAATCAGAAGGGCTGATATGTAATAGAATGTCTTTAAGTCAGTTTTGACTCCTGATGACTGCATGGACAGGTCCATAGAGTTTTGGCCACATTTTCAGAAGAGGGTTGCCATTACTTTCTTCCTAATGCTGAGAGGGAGGGACTGTCTCAAAGTCACCCAGCTGACTTCATGCCTGAGGCAGGATCAGAACTCATGATCTCCTGGCTTTTAACTCAATGCCTTTAACCACCACACCAAACTGGCTATTTACAGGAGTTTTGTTTTGTTTTTTAAAAAAGAATCTACCGTTCCACAAATACAGTGTAGACTCACCAAATTACAGACTTGTAAGAGTCTTGACAAGTACGGACCCTCAATTTGATTTTCAGCCTTATTGTCTAATATTCTCTATCATAGCCTTCCAGAAGTGATTTTGGCATCACTTGAAGGGCAATTCCATGAATGATTCTGTGAAATTACCGATACAAATTCTGTTGAATACTTTGCTCTAACATGTTTTTTCTTCAACAAGAGCCACCTTTGTGAAAAGCTGCAGGTCTTTACAAATAGTCTTTCCTAGACTCTGACTCTTGTAAAGCAAGCATTGTGTGCCCCGCCCCCGCAGCCATGTCTTTCCTTTGTGCTATACAAAGGCTGAATGTAAAATTTCAAACATTTTTTTCACCAATTAAAGTATTAGTGTATGAGATTAGGAGGATTGCAATCTCTTACCAACACAAAGGAGTAGGGATAAAAACCCATCCTAATCTAGTGTGGAATCTTTTCCTGCAACTGCCCATTGATGAGAAATGGCCAGCCTGCAATTTCAAGGTAAAATTACATGACTAAAATTTCCTATTTAGACCAAAACATGGTTTGAATGCCTCGATGTGGAGCCTTTGCTGCTGCAACTGAAATGAAAAAGGAAGTGGAGAAAAATCAGACATGTGTTTCTTTACAAAAGAATTTTATTGTTGCAGCTAAAATGAGAACTGAAAATTTGTATGGGAAGTTGAAAAACTGTACAGTTTTACTGAAATTGTAAGGTCATTGCAGCGCCTTACCTAAGAGACAATATACCTGAAAATGTATTATACCAAAACATTTAGCTTGTTTTTATTTTATTTTATTTCTTTTCTTAAAAAAGTTTTCTATGGCAATCGGTAAAAAAGAAAGACCTGATGAGTAAATATTTGCTTAAGGCATATAGCAGAGCAGCTCACTAACTTTCTAACAAGTTTAAACATGGATATTTTCTTTTCCTCCCCCCCAACCCCGCCCAAGAATAGGTTAACCAATACATCCACTTTGAAATGCTACTGTATATACACACCCCAAACTACTACATACATGTACAGGACATCAAAACAAAATGCTCACGGTTCAGCATGACAAACCGTATCCACACCTCGCTGAACGTTATGGGGGCTTTCTACTGTATTTCTTACAGCACTTCTTGTGTTCAAATTGATCAAGGCAAATAGTGATGCTGGCGGGCTTGAGAGGAACACTCTAATCAGAAAGGATTTCGTGGCCGTCTTGGGACAATGTGAAGGAAATTTAGTTCTCCCCGACAGATCAAGTATAGTACAATCACGTTGCTGTGGAGATACATTCTGAAGTTGACCATGTCATTGTGGGAGAGGAAGAGCAATACAATTCTATCATCAAGAGTTTTTATTTTTTAACCCCAATCCCTTTGTTTTTTAATGAAATGAAAAGCGTGGATTTTCAGTCCCAGTTTCATTCTGGAGGCCTTTGTAAATAACTGTTCCCTTCAGACTATCAGAAGACAATTTAATGTATCTTGGCACAGGGGCATCTCTGGGGAGCAAAAAAAGCTAAGATGGCACCTGTGCCCGTATGGTTGAACCCACCCCCTTCTTTAATGTGTCGCACATATGAAAAGGGAGTGGGCCTTCAACTGAGTGGTTGTGGCTGCCATCTTGACTTTTTTGAGCCCCCCTTGCTAATGCCCCTGTCTTGGCACCTCATGTTTCAGCAATTTGCCATAGAAAACTAGGGTGTGTGAGAGAGGTGTGAATATGGCTTTGTACACACTCTGGAATGTTTGTACTATATTTACTTGATTGAAAGAGTGCTATACATCTGGTTTAGATGGTGTACATAGAAAAACTGCCAAATAATAGGCAAGATACAGGCAACCTGGCTTTTTTTTTTTCTTTTTAAAGAGAACACACACACCTACCAATCTATGAGCTGAATGAAGACACTTCAGCAACACCCTTGGAATCACAGCCATTTAAATAATCAGATCATGCAAGTATAATTGGGCACATCAGAAAGCAGAAATATAAAAATTATGTTCACCTTTCAAGCACATGGATTTCAATCAGGACACTTTTAGGAGACTTTATACATGCATTTGAATAAAAATGTGATACAAATGCGTCTGAATAATATTCTACTGGAGGACAGAACGTGAAAGGGACAAAGCAATCACATACTGATTAGCAAAATACATAGATGAGCCATTATATATTATGCCATTTTCTATAGTCATGTCAATATTTTCATGTTTCCAATATTATTACTAAGTATTGACTGCTTAACAAAATTCCTCTTTCTCATAGGCAGGGCTGTACGTTTCTCAGGACTACCTATGGATTTATTATTGTACTTTTGAAAAGACCTTGATACTAGCCTCATTTTGAAATTGTTCTTTTAACTCAACCTTTTCTTCCTTCCCCCTCTCCAAGACCTTTCTTTAATATTTCATTTGTTTAAAGAAGAAAAAGCTAACTTTGGTCGGAAATGAGAAGTAAAATAAATATGGAGTGAGGACCCTGATATATCACCGATTTTTAAAAAGGGATGATACTTAAGTGCTATATAGGTAGAATACAGATTTTCCAAATAACTTGCACTGTAGATTGGGTGTCATTTTCTTAATGAAACAGCTGCAACTTCAGTACTCTTTTTCCTCTATAACAAGGATCCCTTTTGTTATTATTTATATTGCTTATAAAGGGGGGAGGGGGTTATCAACATCAGCATACTTCCCCAGTCATAATATTTATGAACAACAAAACACGCGATTGGTCAATTTTTACTCTTAGCAGCTACAGTCAGTCAAGCTAAGCTGTACCTAAAATAATAAAATAAAATAAAATACAAATTCTCTCTTCAACTTCATATGGAACAAAAGATTTGTTCTGAGTTAGGGTGCAAACTTCCTCTTCAGCAGAGGTAGAAGGCTCACGGATAAAGCAAGCAATCTTACACATCTGAATTAACAGTCAGAACTATGGAGTTCAATGGGGCTTAATCTCAAGGATGCATAAGATTGCAGCCTTAATCCTGGCTCCTAAATAGCATGATCTTTAAGCCAAATAAAAGCTAACCTTGGAAACTTTGTTCTAAAAAATAAAGACAACAACACTGAAAATCACCAACACAGTGGTTTGTAACTTGAAAAGATCTAGAGGACAGTTGGCCCAACACTTAAGCACTTGGGCTTTACTGAGAAACATTCTACTGGATCTTTACATTAAGGAGGGTTGCATGTGTGTTAAGATAGTGATGATTTTAAAAGTATTCCTCTTCTATTTTGAATACACATAGGACATTCTTCACATGGTAAGTCTAGAATGAAATTGCATTTTACATTCCATAGGATGATGAAGCTTACGCACTGGTCCTTTCTAAAGCAAGTATCTGATATAAATGCTGGTGGACATTCTGGTTGCATTTCCCTTCCTCTTTTCCATAAGGATAGGAAACTATATACACAGTTAAATATTTTTTAGAAAGTTGATCGTGCAATGCAACGGGCATGTACACAGAAATAAGAGTGCAAGAGATGATTAGCAATATAGCAATGAGCATTGACAGTGAGTGGGGAGAGAAATAACTCATTTTGTCCAAAAAGGAGGGAGAACATTCTAGCGTTGACCTGTTGGGATGCCCTGAGAAAAAGCGGTGCCCATTTATAGCTTGTTACTGAAGCAAGAACCTATTTGAGAAAAATAAAATACATCCCATATTATTTGCACTGCCAAAAACTCAGGGTGCAATCCAATTGAGAGTGGAGGGAATTCTATTGTCCAGTCTCCATCCATTCACTGGAGCTCCTGAGCAACATCCAAATTTATTAGAGGCTATGCAGAAGTGGTTCTTTAGAGACTGAGCCATCAGTCTTTAAAAAGGCAAAGAGTAAAAAGGTCCCTCTCTCAAAAAAAACCTGTACATTCTTCAGGGGTGTGTATGTGTGGACATACAGTGGTCTTTTAAAGGAATCTGATCATGTATTTGGTTACAAATGCTTGGAGAATACAGGCAATTTTCACTTGTGCCTAATTCCTTTTTCTGAAAAATCACCAAAAGAACAACCAAAAAACCCCCCTGGCTTTAAAATATTAAAAAAAAGAAAAACAGCAATGTGTTGTAAACTTATTATTCCATTTTTAAAAAATAAGGAAAAAATGAAAAACACAGGACTTATTTGGCATATTCTCTGCTTACTCCTGAATATCTTAAGGCCCTGAGATTAGAATATTATGTTCTTGGGACCCTAGGGCTAAATATTAAACCCTAGTGCATCAACTTTCTCTTTAAACCCTAACCAAAGTTCCAGCTTCTCTAACATACCATACATTTCCACTTGGATAAGGCTTAGTTGCCCCTTTAGCTTTCTTGAATAGAAACAAATGAAACACCACTGATGTTACTGGTATTCTGATACCACCAATGGGATGTCCATCAATGAAAATATACTCTGTAACAGAGGTATGCACCTGCTGTCAGGACAGTGAACATACAGATGTTGACAAGAAATGGTTTCCAGGTTGTCATCATGTTCTCTTCATCCTCTTCTTCTGGCTTTAACATTTCATCATTGCATGGTGAAGCATCAACAGTTCTCTTCCTAAGCTTACTATCTGGATTAGTGCTGCAGGACAACAACAAACATACTGAGATTAGAATAATTCTTTGGTGCATGGCGATCGGTGAGGCTTACTTTGAAAAGTAGATCACCTTTCCCCAACATGAGTCCAATATTGTAGTTCTCTCATTTAAGTCATTCTGGCTCTCTTCTAAACAAGAATAGCTAAATTGAAACAGGACAAAACAGGAAAGGGAACCTGATGACATAACCATTTATACAGCAATAGTGACATCTAGTGTTAAAAATGCACTTCATTTCTCCTTTATGCTTCTGACTCAATTCTCAACTCAATCTCACTCAATTTCTGGATATTTTAAAGTTCCACAAATAGAGCTGGAAAACTGGTCATCACCTCTAAATTTCCTTTGAAGAGGTAAGATGTTTCTCTGAATTTTTGCAACAGATTTTAAGGGACCCAAAGTGGAACTACATAGGACCATTGGTTCCATAATTATTTTTTAAAATATCCCCCTTCCCCAAGAGTAATAAACTTACATGAAATCCATAATTTCACCCTGACACTGTTTCAGTTCCATTAAAAATGTTTCATTCCATTGAGAAATGGTGACTGCTAAATAAAATGCCCCCTCCCTTCTATTTTTAACCGCTGCAAAAAGTAAACGAAGTCTTTCAAACTGTAAGACAAGTCATTCATCCTTCAAACTCATTTGTTAACATTGTTATGATGGAATATTTTAGTAGTTTTTATTTTCAGAAGGCATGTAAGAAAAAAAATTAGCTTCTTTCAGCTACTCTCTGACTTGTAAGAATCATAAATTAGCACCATTTATTAAGTTACTAAAGTAACTCTGGTGTAGGGTGGCTTATAGCTTAGAAATGGCAATATTATGCTATCCACACTGAATTCGATTTAAACCATTTAAATTTAAAGCATTTAAAGGCTTCTTTTTCCAGAAGAGAATGTAGCTCACAGCAAAAATATCTGAACCTTCAAATGTCTAATTTTATTTCATACACTGACATATGCATTATATGAAAGAGCATTATATTTTCAGTGTACTTTACTGAATGTGTTAGAAAGGAGAGCAGAGACACCAAACTGGTGGGAACATGCTTTAAGCTGAGACAATTTGCTGAGAATCTGCAAGAAGTATTCCACATTACCTCTCCAAGCCCTGCTGCTCAGAGGAACAAACCCTGCCATCTAGAACTCTGGTTTCCAAAGTGCTGGCTGCATAGAACTTGATGTCTTCCTCAGCCCTTGGATGCTTTGAAACAACTTCCATATGATCAGGCACCCTTCCATTATTCATTTCAGAGGTTCTTTTGGGTGGCCTTGGAGGCGGAGGAGTATGTTCTGGTGGTGGATCCAAGTCTTCATTAGAGAGTTCTTTCCATTGCTCCTTTGACATGAAGAAAGAATTTATTAACTTCTCTAAAATGATCACAAGCCCCCCTCCCCACCATGCCCAACATTTTCCTTTGATATACAGGCAACCTAGAATTTATGGGGACATTAAGGTGGATATATTTTTGAGAAAAGGCTATTGCAGTTTGCTGTATTTAATATATATAAAAAACTTTAGAATGGAAGGCATGTGGTATTCCTCAGAGTAATCTCTCTTACTGGAGTCTTCTTGTGTACAAAATTTGGACAGGAAGTGGGAAGGGCAGAATTAAAGGGTTTTTTGCTATTATCGTTGTTTTATGTTGTTTTGGAGGTCATGATTCTGCTAGTTTTAATTGTAAGCCTCCCAGAGTCGTTGGGAGTCAGGCAACCCATAAATTGCATTAAAGAAATAAAGAATCAGGGCATGCTTTGCCCTGTCTTTGTAATAATGATTCCCCGCATTTGTAAACTGTGAACAAGGAATTGCCTTTATAATCACAATCTCATATGGCACTTCCTATAATCCTAAGCAAGTTCTCCACTGCAGCATGTGCTCATTGTTGCTCATACACTTGCTCGTTCTACTAAGAAATAAACCATCATTTGTCATCAGTGCCCTGCGACTTTCTGCATATGATAACCCACCAATTTCCATGAAAACAAACAGACATCAAATCTGACAAACTTCCATGCTGAAAAAATTAGGGACAAGGAAGAATATCTCAACCTCCAGGAAGACCCCATGATGATTTTAATGTGGCCTTTTTTTTGAACCAAGGACTTCGAAATCAGATTTCAATGTGAAACAGCTAAGCTACAACTTATTAAGAGGTTTAAACTCCACAATGTCTGGATTTCAACTCCCAGAATTCCCCAGCCTGCATGCTGGCTGGGGAATTCTAGGAATTGAAGTCCAGACATCTTCAAGTTGCCAAGGTTGAGAAACACTACCCTAATGGAAGAATATATCTCATATGCTAATTATGAATATGATAATCATCACTAACTCTGATCTTACTGACCATGGATCTGAGGAAGAAGACTGTAATCCCCCAAAATGTATGTCACAACAAACTGTGTTTATCTCTGAAAATACCAAAAGGCTCTTTATTATTTATCCTGGTTTAGGTCGACTAGCATGCAAAACACCAGGCCATGGACTACTCCTTTTTAGTGCAGATCATTGCACTGAAACTCTTCTACATACTAAAACCTGAGTCTGACTGTAAACATTATTTAAAATTGAAGACATGAGGTATTGCATATACTGACGGGGACACTCACTTGTACAGATGAATCTCCCATAATAAATTTGGCTCCCTCTGTAACAGCCAAGTATGAGAAGCGAAGCTGGTCTGCTGTTTGTATAAGCCCCATTCGGTACTTCCTCATTTCTAAAAGAACCTGCTTAATGTCGACAGAAGAAGGGTCTTTCCTTTTGTCCATCTGCACAAAGGGAGGCGATACTCAGTACACTTCGATTTTTATTAACTGCCTATCTTACCACGTTCCTCAGAATTCAAAGGGGCTTATAAAATGAAGCAACACAAATGATGCAAAAACCCCACATATCAACAAAATGTTCATGAATACAGAACAAGGGGAAACCAAATCAGAAAAAACAATTCCTGAGCAGAACAATCATGCAGCTCAACAAGGATTGGATCCCCTAAAAGCAGTACGGTAGTATAATTTTTTATTTGCAGAGGAGCTGCAAAACACTGGTATTAAGAGTACTCAAGTCTCCTAAAATGACACAACATTCAATAAAAACATAAAGACAGCACATTTTACTATAGCCTAATCATTTGTGAACTGCATGCCATAATAATATAGTCTTAAGGGGACTCAAAAAATCTTTCTTACCACAACATATTAAAAATGACTACCTCTCTGGAAACAATCACAACTATTATGCTTAATTTCAATACTTCAGAGTCCCAGATCAGAAACCCTAATGCCCTCAGGCTCCTTAGAAACATTCAAGTTTATTTGGTATCTTTTATATCAGCCCATAAGACAGGTTCTATGTCTGTAAATCTCATTTCAGAATTTACTACTTTACTTCACAGTAAAATGTTCTTAACATAAAATCCGTTACTTTAAACTAAAATATTTTTATAGCAATAGGGGACCTCTCAATAAATATTAGACATAACAACAAATAGGTGATAGGTTACCATGGTTCTTCTGGTGTCAATTCAAATCTCTTTTGGGCAATGTTAGAGCTTCAGCAACTCGCCCTTATGCCAACTTTAAGAATTTAATATTTAAGTACTTAGGAGAACCAAAAGAAACAATCTGTAAAATTTATAGGTTATTACTAGTGCATTTAGAAGTAGGAGATCCGCCCCATGATTTAAATGAAGCTTGAGATACTGATCTTGGTAAATCCATATAGGAGACAAATCTGCAGGAATTATGGAAATCTGGTGGATTCACCTCAACTTCAATTCAAGAACTGCAGTGGAAGATCACTGGGGCTTGACCCCAGTTAGATTGGTACATATCTATCAGAATTATTCTTGCAAATGTTGGAGAGGTTGTCAAGAGGGTCTTTTATTTGTGGTGGTCATGTGATAAAGCAGTAACCCTTTGGTGTAAAATTTCTGGTAGATAAGTACCATTACTAAACGCTTCCCAGAATTAGCGCCCCCCCCCCCCCATGCGGCCTCATTGTGGTGAAGGCAGGGAGATGTTCCCGGGAGGGATGAGTGAAGAATGTTGGGAGTGTTTGCCAAGAATATATATTCCTAGCAGGGCCACTCAAAGCATGAAGGTCATCCCAGCTGCCCAGCTAAAAGCAAGCAGGCTCCTTTATTGCAAGCAAGGAGGCTCCTAAATTGCAAGTGAGCAGGCACCTATATTGGGCAAGCAGGCACCTATATTGGGCAACAGCGATATAGGAAGGTACCGGAAGCAGATCACCAGTTTAGTGACAGTAGCAAAAGCATCAATTCATACTGTGTGAGAGAAGGCAATGATAAACCACTCCTGTATTTTATCAAGAAAACCACATGGATATCATGGAAAAAGATCTATCTGAGTGGTTGCTAGGAGTCAAAAACGACTTGATGGCAATCAATCAATCAATCAATCAATCAATCAATCAATCAATCAATCACAGACTTACTGCATTTATTTATAGGACCAAAGCTCAAGCTTAAAAACAAAGAACTTACTAATTATTTGATTTTAGCAGCTAAAATAATAATTGCCCAACATTGGAAAACTCTAGATAATGTAACAACTGAGATTAACAAGTTGTCTTCAATTGCTACATTAGAAAAAAATCACAAAGTTAAAATAATGAAACATCAGAGGCAGGAAGTACAATTCGATCATATTTTATAGTTTATCTCAATAGTAATAGACTATACTATGGTAATAATATATACGCTAAATGTATATGGGTACTGTGTCTTTATCTTTACTGACTTTTTAGTAGATTTTTTAGTATTTTCTGTATCTTTTTTGTCTATGCATCTTGGATTTATGTTATTTAGTTACTTGATAATGTAAGAAAAATAAAATGAAAAAAATCCATTACTAACTAAATGCAGGAAAAAGAACAGTAGGGGAATACATCTGTGCAGGAATTTACTACTTAATACAACACCACTGCCCTCTCCTAAAGCACTGAAATCATAACCCTTACTACTTCTACTGATACAGTTTCAGCCATACTGATTAGTCACATCCTACACTAAACCATAATATGGCTTATATGTTTATCCGGCCAACCAAGATGTATTAAATAAATCATGCTTAAACAAACAATGGTTTCATGCAACCTGTGAACCTAGCCATTTTCAATTTCACCCCTACAACCACAAGGATTAGAAATGTACTAAGGGAAGGGGAAAATGAAAATAATATTAAACTTTCTAAGATACCAAGGTCCAAATTCCCTGCTTTTAGACACGTAATCATATGAGCGTGGGATACATTGTGACCAGAAATATATCTAAGAAATGCATTGGGCAATCTGCAATTGGTGCAATCCTTAATTACACTTATCCTAAACGCTATTGAGTAAGCACCACTGAACACAATGGCTCTTACTTTAAAGTAAACATGCATAGCGTTGCAATCCTTTGTAAGCATTGTTGCCCAGACTTTTTTTCAAAGGCTGCAGGATATACTTCCAAGTAAGTCCTACAGGCTTAGCACAACGTAGGATTTTCCCCCAGGCTTTTACATGTGCTAGCGCAGAACTGTGGGGAGGCATTAAAGAGTGCTGGAGAGCTACTTGTGAAGTATTTGCAAGCAGCCTAAAATTTAAGGCAACAAAAATCAAAAGGATAGCGCTAAGCATTGCCAAAAACAAGAAGAACACAGTCATTGAAACAAGAAAGGACAAGGATGGGGAAAGAGTGGGTGGTAAGTATTGACTAACAGAAGGCAGACTTTACTGAAAATTTCGCTGGTACTGAGCTTTGAAGTCAAAACACAGCACTGAAGAATGGGATTTCCTGTAGACCTCAAGAGATTTATAGGGAGCCTTGTTAAAACAGTGGTTTTTGCGTTCCTCCTGCTGCTGCTGCTGCTGCTGCTGCTGCTTTTTTCCCCTTCCAACCTTTTCTTCTTCAAGGTCAAAACTGAAAAGAATCTGGCATAGGGTCTCCCTTATGGGCCTCTATATCCAGTTCCCACTCCTCCCAGCAGTCTTTGTTGCAGAGCCATAATGGTTATCAAAGCAGAATTCAGGCACATTGCAAAAGTCCCTGAAAGATATTTTGCTCTGACCCCAGTTGAGCCAACCATATAATTAATCCCCCAAATTCCTGGTATGTCTATCAGCCATTCTTACCAAGAGAAGACAAGTATCAACCAGACAAAAAGTGCCTGATCTTCCAATTCCAGCACTGCAATGCACTACAATGGGACCATGTTCAGGATTCAGGGACCCTGATTCTCTCACTTTGAACAGGAAGTTGAGGAATGAAGCTGGAGATTCCGGGACTCCAAAGTCAGGCCACGTTGTGTAATGAAAATGCAGGATTTCTCGTGTTTCATGCGTCTGAAAAGTGCAAAATAAATTAATAAATTAAAGATGAAAAATGGGCATCTCTTGCAATTTGGAAGTTGGAAGCATCCTGTTAAGCTTTGAAAAATGCCTAACAAATGTGAAGTTGCAGGGAGTAACAAGAGGATGGTGATAAAGATTACTGACTGCCATCCCCAACAGATATTATAGCAGAATATCCTTGAAATTCAAACCATAGTTCGGTAGATGCAGAGACAGGATACATGGAAAACAGAGCGCAACAGATGAGTTAACTATGTGAGTGATGGAACAGATTACAGGAGAAGGCAAACTCAGGATTTCAATGTATGAAATTATTTTTTCAAAGTCCAGAGGTTTGCAATCTCCCAGAGTATTGTACAGCTTCCTGTTGAGATGATTTTCGTTGGATGACCACTCCTGGGAAAAGTAACAAAGGTATTGTGTTCTTGTCATTGTGCAGTATCTTCCATGAACTTATGGCAGCTATAGTCTTTGGGAGTGGTTTTGTAGTCCTCATGAGCACTGACAACTCCTTTTCCGAAGTTTACAGAGATCTCTTTTAATTAGGGCATGATTTACTTCCACTGTATAGGAAAAAGCAGACCCTGATGTGTGTTTTCCTAGAGGGGAGTCTTTCAAGCTCCAATCCAATTGTCATCTCACTGAACGGAACATCTAACTCAACTGTGAAGAGAGTTGATTGTTGTAGGGCTTCACATATTTTTATCAAGGAAGTGAATGTTGACAATGTTTTCATGAAAGACATAACTCAGTACGCTATTTTGTGGGGTGTTTATCCAGGATCTATCTATCTATTAATAGGAGTTACACAAAGCTCTGAGCACATTGTAGGTCACAGTGCTGCAGGATTATAGATATTTATAAAGGGATTACAAACTCTCTCACACCACTGTACTTCTACGATCATCATGAGTAGATAATGATTAGGGCAGAGGTTTTCATCTCATGACACGCATCTCATAGGCAGGACTTCCAGGTTCCAAGACCGGAAGTCCCGTGATATCACAGGCTCGGGAAGAGAAATGGAGGCATTCTGCCCCTGGTGATGTCACAGAGGTGGGATTCTGGCTGATGCAGCACATCTGTGGACCTTTTGCAGCACACCAATGTACCTCGGCACAGCAGTTGAAAACCACTGGATTAGGAAATGATTGCCTTTGTATTCTTTCAACCAATGTGGCAATTAATCAAATATTAGAATAAAATGCTATCCAGGATCAAAACTCTGAGACTTTTAATATCAACTTTGGAAATCCTTGAAGCACTGATGAAATGGATACCAAACATCACCATTTTAATAAAGAGAACCAACACTGCAAAATATAGGTCACTGATTAATTTTTATCATACTTACTATGAGGTTCTTCAATTCTAATTCTCGGACTGTATAATAGGATTTTATATCTTCTGATATTAAGGTTAATGTGAAGTTTGTATCTTCAAAGAACATTTCTTTCTCCTCTTTTTGTGGCCAATACTGCGCACATTTTATCTGTAGGTAGGGGTGGGGGGGAAGCAGAACAAGACTTACATGCAAGTTATTTAACAAAGAGAAATAAAGAATGAATACAGATACACACAAATACACTCACCAAATCATCTATAAGACAGTCACAGAACTTTCAATCTGTATACCTCTGCACAGATGTGCAAATTTATATGCATGTGCATGCACACGTACATACAAACCAAGATATAACTGCTTAATCTCAAGAAAAATCCCAATAATTTTTCCTTAAGACACTACAACTACTCAATGCACCACTGTTATTTCCATGACTTGACCTGGCACTAGATTCTGAATTTCTGGATCTCTTTTGGGATTACAGAACATGTCACTAAGAAATATGACAAGGCAACAAAATTATCCTAACGATTTAAGGGATGCTACTTGGAGAACAGTTGGATGTTTATATGTTTAACCCCAGGCATAAACCTTTAATTGCAATTCAAATGAAAGCTGCAATAGAGATGCCCAGGATACCTCATGCCTGGTTTCAAAAATCCCACTCTTATGAAATCATTTTGGTGCTACATGGGATAGTTTGAAGACTACAGTGGTTTATTTTAAATGAAGTCTGAGCTGTTCAATGCCTAAGCTTTTGACTAATCATGCTAATTTTCTAAGAAATTATCTTCTAGGAAATCCAAGATATGCATCATTAGGATGTGTACATGCTAGAAATATCTATCTAATCCTGGAAAATGGGGAGCCTTATTAGAGAATTCTGGAATTAGGTTGTACCAAATAATACACATTTTGGTCACCCCCCCAAAAAACAAAACAAAAACAAAAACCCACACCCTTGCTAAATGCTATCCTGCAGAATGCAAAATAATTTCTCTGGCTAGGATTACAACTCAGCAGGAGTTAGGGAAATGTTCACTGCTCATGGATTTTTAGTGTTCTATTTTCAGAATAATAACCTTATTCTTTCTTCCTTTGTTTCTATCCTATAACAAAGACATTAATTATTATACTTATTAAATACCAATGAAAAATAATCAAGTGTGGGATGGTTATACTGAAGGTCTTTTATGGAACAGAATCTAATGGGATTCACAAAAGAAATGCTCTCAAGAAGTTAATTCATTATTAGAGGTAACAATTTTTCTTTCTTTCAATCCTGAATAGCATGACTCAGCTGGATATAGTAAGAAATTACAACCCTCTGTAAACTTATTTTTCATTACAACATACAAGAGAATTCGCTGCATGTATGATTTTTGTACCACATGGTGACAGATAATGATTCTTATCCACTGAGTGTCCCACACAATCATTTGTGCAGCAGTGTTAGCAGCTCCCAAGAGTTCTATATAATTCCACGCTTTTGTTCAAACTTACTGGCAGTGGGGAAAAGTACATGGAAGTGGTTGGGGCAATGATGGGGCCCATAGTCAGAGCACTTTCCTTTTAGACCTGCCTCACTACTTGTATTACTGTGGAATTGGAAGCCTCCACACAAGTGAGGCAAATGACTGCCAAAGAGGAGGAGGAGTCGTCGTCTTCTCCTTCTCTTCCTCCTTCCTCCTCCTCTTCGTCAGCATTGACTCCTGGAAACTGCCTGGATGAGACGCTGCAGTTTTCTTGGCAGGATTTCAGAAGTGGTTTGCCATTGCCTCCTTCCTACACCTGAGAGAGAGTGACTAGCCCAAGGTTACCCAGCTGGCTTTGTGTCTAAGGGGGGACTAGAACTCATGGTCTCCCAGTGTCTAGCCTGATGTCTTAACTACTACTCCAAAGAGTCTTTTAGGTTGAGGAAATTCTTTCCTACATCTCAAAAGGAAAATGATTCACCCTCTACTTTAAAGAGGTCCAGAGATGATAGCATTCTAGGAACACCACTGAGGTCATTTCTTTGAAGTGGAAAACCAATCATCGTTTGAAAGAGAAAGACTGGCAGTCTTGGATGTTTAAGGATCAGGCATAGCACAGCACATCATGATTTCAGGAGCATCTCTACTAACTGACGTGCATGACAACTAACTGAATGCTGGCTGGCTCACTCATGAGTTTTACCTTATTCCCCCCCAAGCTTTTAACATAAATGGTGAAATGTTCTGAACAAGCTTTAACATATTTAAAATGTTTGTTTGCCACCTTTTTAAAACTTAAAACTGTTCTGAAGCTTTGGGTAAGGGATTTGGATTACTTCATGAAATGGCAGCCATTCAACTTCATGAACCAGCTGTGTTGAAAAAGTCTGCTGGCTCTTAGGAATCTTCTCTGCTAAGGTATAGGTATGGACTGCACTGAGTACAGTGAGGTTTGACCAAACATGGTCTGCCATTATCTGTCTTCTCTGCAAGGTTCTTGACCAATTTTCAGACTGTTTAGAAATTATTTAATCTGACATTTTACAAACTGCACTCTGATACTGATCCCTGAGATGCAAAAATCCATTATGCAAACAAACAACAAGCATATAAAATGTATTTAATGCTGAACTATTTTTTTTTCTTTAGAAAGATCATCTGTAGACATTCAAGTTAAAAATATGGGGAGATGATGGCCATTAGGGGACTACAAGAAGAGGAATATGAAGGAAGCTATCAACAGCTATGCAATATATCTTCTGAATATGTGGCTTTTAAATAGCCTATTTCTAAGGGAGCATTTTCCTTATCAACTTAAGGGATCTTGGCATGCCTGTACATAGCAAATATTTTCTAGGCATGTTATTTGGTGCATGGTCATTTGACGCACAGGCCAGGCAACCTACAACATAACTAACATTTTCAATTACTATGTTTTGCAGTGAGAAGCAGAGGCATTTCAGAACAGAAGACAAATTGTCTTTAGGAACATAGAAGGTTGCCATATGTTGTCAATTTTTACTCCATCTGGATCAATATAATCTACTGCACATTAACTGGCATTGGCTTTCTGTAATTTCAGATGGCTGTTCTACTTGAGGACAGCTAGGGATTGAATGCCTGCTTTCATTACTACTTTCTTATTAAAGGACTTCTGGAAAAGCTTTTGAGAAATGCTAGCATTCCTTGGATTTATGGGGTTGAAAACTATTGCTCCATGTAGTACTTACTTCTGCTTGAAGTAAGCTTTCATATAGACCTTTAAAAAGTGTCTATCAAAAACATATGCTATGGAGAACTCCCCAATGCCAAGTACCATCAAACCACATGTCAGATATTGGCTTCCATACTAAAATGTAGAAGGTGAACATTCCTGGCTCAAAATCCCCTTCCCCAAGAAGTTCTAGGCACAACTGCTATAAACATTAAAATAAAGCTCCTGAAAGAGGATGAACTATGTCAAATAATGATTTCTAATGCACTCTGGATCCTGATTTTCATTACCTAATGAAAGGAAACTGTAAAAGGTCTAGTTCCAGTTTTTGCAGCCTCCTATTTACATTAGTCAATTCTGCAGGGCCTCAATACACAACTCAGTCTGTTTCACAGAACTAGAAAAGTAGAAATGATGCCTCAGTATGAAAATAAATCAGATCAAACACTTCCTTGCTGACAAAACACAGTAATGCTTGGGTCCACTCATGAACAACTGAAAATAAATACATGCAAGTAGTGATTCTGGAAGAGGGCTTAAAAGACAACATTTGCTGAAAAACTGGTGCTGGTGATTAAGAAACTGATTTTTTTTTTAAGTCTGCACTGAATTTCCAGGATGCTTTGCTTCAAATAACAGCTATTTCAAAAGACACAAGTACAGGTAGTCCCCAGTTTAAGAACAAGTTCCGTTCCCAAGATCTGTCTTTAAGTCAAATTTGTATGTAAGCTGGAACAGTATTATTGTATAATACTGTCTGTCTTTAAGTCAAATTTGTATGTAAGCTGGAACAGTATTATTGTATAATACTGTCTGTCTTTAAGTCAAATTTGTATGTAAGCTGGAACAGTATTATTGTATAATACTGTCTGTCTTTAAGTCAAATTTGTATGTAAGCTGGAACAGTATTATTGTATAATACTGTGTAAGTAGTATTGTGCAATGAACTTGAACCATTCTGTATTTAACACAAATTTTGCTACAATAGGTGTGATGGAATGGACTTATGAAAGCCACGCTCAGGGAGATAAGCGTGTTCTTAGCCCCCAACAGGAGCGTGGGA